GGGGGGCCCAGCGGAGTGACGCCCTACGGGGATACAGATTAGACCTCGCCATCCCTGGGGGGCTGCGATCTGTGAAACTGTCGCCACTTTCGAAGGCTGCTTGGGGGGCCAGCGGAGTGACGTCCTACGGGGACTCAGATTAGACCTCGCCATCCCTGGGGGGCTGCGATCTGTGAAACTGTCGCCACTTTCGAGGGCTGCTGTGGGGCCCACGAAACTGTCGCCACTTTCGAAACCTGCTGCGGGGTCCAGCATAGTGACGTCCTACGCGGACGCAGATTGGACCCGTCATTCTACTTCGATTATCCCGCATCTGCGATCGACTGTATGTGTGCGAGGAACTAGACATGGAGTGGTCTGGCACTGACTGACGTCAAATCGTTGTGTGCCAGTGTCTCCTGGGGTGTTGCCTGATGTGGATGCAGCTCGTCGGCGCTGCGACTCGAGCTGGCGGTCGTCCTTCGGACCCGCAGAAACATCTGCTGAGCTCGATGAGCTAGGGGAACTACAGGAAAGAAGTGCAGTAAACGGAGGCCGGTCATGCACTCGCCGATACCTCGTTGCTCTGTCATCGTCTTTGCTGTTGCATGATCCTTATCTGGCCTGCCGGCGCCGCGGCTCGAGCAGGCGGTCGCCCTTCGGGCCCGCGGGAACATCTTCTGAGACAAGTGGACGCCGCCGCCTTACTTGCAGGCAGCGCATTGCATTCGCGGACAGCAGCATGGCAGACCGCAGTGAGATCCTCAGTCGCGTGGTGTTGCCAAGCCTGGTGGAGACGCGCGTGATCGACCTGAAGTCCCAATCGCGCGTGCACTGTACCTGCGTGGCGTTCAGGCACGCGCGTGATGCTGCTCGCTCCGCGTTCAACCAGTACGTCGCCAGTGCAACTTTGGACGATGGACAACCGATTGATGATACGCGACCCCGGCCTTGAGTTTCTTTCCCACGGGCCGCCCGCAGACCTGGCGGCGCGCCTGCGAGCGTTCAGCTCCCGCGCTGAAATGTGCGGGAAGGAGGCGGAGAAGCTAGCGGGCGAGCTACGCCTCGCTCGTTCCTTGCATTCTAAACAAGTTTTATCATATGGAACTCTGCGACGACATGGCGCAGGCAGCGCTGCGGGTTTAGCTCGCGCTTGAAAAACGCGGCAGTCTTCTGTCTCCTCATGCTGCTGCTTCCGCGATGGCCTTTCGCCCCCCCCGCCCTCCATTCCATCCCTCTGCTACCCCTCGTGCCCGTGCCCGTTCTTCTTCGATCCTGGGGCCTCAATCCTCGTTCTTTCGATCGTCGTCCTGTGAATCGTGCAACGCATGCGCGTCCCATGTAGCTTGCGCAGCAAATTGCCGCGTCTACACTGTCGTTGTTCCTGCTAATGTTGGCATAGTCCTCTTGCCATTTGATGCGCGTGGGTTGGGTACGTCGCAGGGTAATGATTTACTCATTATCACAAGTTTTATGATTATTCGTACTTGTCATTTTATTGGTATTATTATTATTATTTTTATTGTTATTCCCCATATCCTAAGATGGGGTTCTTGTTATTACTTGGGCGCCTCCTACTCCTCCTTCCTCCTCCTCTTTTCTCCTCCCCTCCTGTCGGACTTACTCATACTCAGACTTGCTCATACACAGACTTACTCATACTCAGACTTACTCATACTCAGACCTACTCATACTCAGACTTACTCACACTCAGACATACTCATACACAGACATACTCATACACAGACTTATTCACACCCACACGTACTCATACACAGACTCACTCATACCCGGACTTACTCATACACAGTATTAGTCATATTCAGACTTACTCATACCCAGACGTACACATACACAGACTTACACAGACCTACTCATACCCAGACTTACTCATACACAGACTTACTCATACACAGACTTACTCATACTCAGCACCCCGAAGGGGAGCCGCCACGGGTGGTTGCACGGGCTCGTTCGCGGCCATTTTGTGGGGATGTCTCAGGCGGTTTGCCTGTTCCCCATATCCAAAGATGGGGTTCTTGTTCCCCATATCCAAAGATGGGGTTCTTGTTATTGGCGGACCGCGCCGGAAGGACACAAAACAGGACAGAACACCACACCCATCACTCAGACACACATTCAGATTCACTCATCACTCAGACTCACTCATGCTCTCTCATCACTCAGACTCAGTCATCACTCAGACTCAGGCGATTCGCTCGTCTCAGCAATCTAAGGGGGGCGGCGGGGGGGTATTTCACGGGGTCCCGTTCGCGGAATTTTGTGGGGATGTCTCAGGCGGTTTGGCCATTTTCTGATCCAACATGTTTCGTTTTCGGAGCAGATTTGGAGGATGTCTCAGGCGATTCGCTCGTCTCAGCACTCTAAGGGGGGCGGCGGGGGGGTATTTCACGGGGTCCCGTTCGCGGAATTTTGTCAGGCGGTTTTGGTCATTTTTGGGCCCAACATCCTTCGCTTTCGGAGCAGATTTGGAGGATGTCTCGAGCGAGGCGCTCATTTCAGCACCCCTAAGGGGAGCCGCCAGGGGTGGTTGCACGGGCTCGTTCGCGGCCATTTTGTGGGGATGTCTCAGGCGGTTTGCTTGTTTCTGTGCCCAACATCCTTCGCTTTCGGAGCAGATTTGGAGGATGTCTCGAGCGAGGCGCTCATTTCAGCACCCCTAAGGGGAGCCGCCAGGGGTGTTTGCACGGGCTCGTTCGCGGCCATTTTGTGGGGATGTCTCAGGCGGTTTGCTTTTTCTGGGCCCAACATCCTTCGTTTTCGGAGCAGATTTGGAGGATGTCTCGAGCGAGGCGCTCATTTCAGCACCCCTAAGGGGAGCCGCCAGGGGTGGTTGCACGGGCTCGTTCGCGGCCATTTTGTGGGGATGTCTCAGGCGGTTTGCTTGTTTCTGGGCCCAACATCCTTCGCTTTCGGAGCAGATTTGGAGGATGTCTCGAGCGAGGCGCTCATTTCAGCACCCCTAAGGGGAGCCGCCGGGGGTGGTTGCACGGCTCGTTCGCGGCCATTTTGTGGGGATGTCTCAGGCGGTTTGCTTGTTTCTGTGCCCAACATCCTTCGCTTTCGGAGCAGATTTGGAGGATGTCTCGAGCGAGGCGCTCATTTTCACCCCCCAGGTGGGCCAGATTTTGAGGATGTCTCGATCGGTTTGCTTGTTTTGGTGGCCAGGCTCGTGGGCGCAGATTCTTCTCAGGATGCCACAGGAGGCTCCAACAGGCTCCAGGAGGCCCCAGGAGACCACATGAGGTCCCAGGAGGCATCAGGAGGCCACAGAAAGATTCAAGAGGCCACAGGATGTCCCAAGAGGCTCCAGGAGGCCCCAGGAAGCTCCAGAAGGCCTCAGGAAACCACAGGAGGCCCCAGGAGGCAACAGGAAACGCCAGGAGGCCTCGGAAGGCAACAGGAGGCCCCGAGAGGCCCCAGGAGCAGGAGGCCTCAGAAGGCAACAGGAGTGGCTCCAATCCCATGTGTTTTACGTATGCTCCTATCGAGTGGGCCTTACCTGGAGCACGATTATTTGATGTTCTACGTATGTTTCTATAGATGGTCCTTCTCCGGTGTACACAATCCTAAATGTTTTACCCATGTTCCTATATATTGGGCCTCTCCTGGGGCACGAGTCCTTGGTGTTTTACGAGTGTTCCTATAGATTGCCCTTCTCCTGTGGCTCTAATCCCGTAGCCATTTTGGCTCAAGCGTTCGCATGCCGCGCCGCCTCGGCCTCCCGCCTCGGGATGGCTGGCCTGCGCGCGGCTAGAGGGGCTGGCACGGCCGCCGACGACCTCGCGCTGCTGGTGCGCGCGGCGGTCCGCGGCGCTGTGGACGGCGGCGCGCCGCGCCGCACGGTCGCCGCAGTGGCGCGCTCTGCAGTCTCGGCCGCCGCGTTCGCGGCGCGGCCGACGACGCAAGCGCACGCTGCAGACGACCGACGTGACGATCTTGCTGCTGATGCCGTTGGCGATGCCGCTCGCCCAGCTGGTGCCTCCGCGGAGGCGAAGCGGGCGCGGCGTCGGCGCCGCCGCGCGGCGCGCGCGGCTCGCAAGCAGCAGGAGATGACCGACGGCGACGTGACGACGGCTGGTGCTGGCAGTACTGGTGCGGGCCTGGGGCTCGCCCTGCTGCCCACGGCGATGGCGGTCGACGGCGCCGACGACGAAGACCTCGCCTCGTTGGTCGACGACTCCTGGGCTGACAGCCTGCCTGTCGGCGGGCGGCGGCGGCCTGGGCGGGGGCGCGAGGGCAGGTGGGTCGCGGAGGCGGTGGCTGCTGGCGCGGGCGGCACGGGCTCTGGCCTGGCCGCCGCGGCGGCCGCTCCCGCGGGCGCGGCGCTGGCCCTCGCGAGGGCCCCTGGCGGGGCGGCGGTGGCGGAAGCGGCGGATCTCGCTCGCGGAGCGGGAGGAGCTGCTGGAGCTGCTGCGTGCGGCCTCGAGCGCGCCGGCCTGGCTGGCGGTGCCGAGCCACGGCGGCGTGGGCCGAGGCGCGCACGGGCGAAGGCGCAGGCGGAGGCGGCGAGGGCGGCGGCGGAGCTGGGCACGGCGCTCGCGGGAGCGGCGCCTGCTGGCGGCGGAACTGCTGCCTCGGAAGGCCCTGGGGAGGTCTTCGAGCGTGCCGACGGCCTCCTTCGGCAGGCGCCTGGCTACGGGCCTCAGCTCAGCGTGCAGCTTCGGCAGATGCTGGAGTCCGTGAGCTGGAAGCCCGCCAGCGCCGTGTGAGGTGGGGAGTGCCTACGGTGGTCTGGGCCTTTTCAGGCTCGGCACGGGGTGGGTGGTGGCTCGCGTGGCCGCCTCACCTGACGGCGCACACCCACGCAGCGTGGCGAGCGCGCTGCATCTTGGAGGCCGCTGTTTGCGGAGCCTCCTGGCCGCATTTGCGGCTCTCGCCTTCTTGGCGGCGGGATCGGTTCGTGCTGCACGGGCTGCCTGGTGTGTACAAAAAGTGGCTCTAATCCCATTTTGGCTCAAGCGTTCGCATGCCGCGCCGCCTCGGCCTCCCGCCTCGGGATGGCTGGCCTGCGCGCGGCTAGAGGGGCTGGCGCGGCCGCCGACGACCTCGCGCTGCTGGTGCGCGCGGCGGTCCGCGGCGCTGTGGACGGCGGCGCGCCGCGCCGCACGGTCGCCGCAGTGGCGCGCTCTGCAGTCTCGGCCGCCGCGTTCGCGGCGCGGCCGACGACGCAAGCGCGCGCTGCAGACGACCGACGTGACGATCTTGCTGCTGATGCCGTTGGCGATGCCGCTCGCCCAGCTGGTGCCTCCGCGGAGGCGAAGCGGGCGCGGCGTCGGCGCCGCCGCGCGGCGCGCGCGGCTCGCAAGCAGCAGGAGATGACCGACGGCGGCGTGACGACGGCTGGTGCTGGCAGTACTGGTGCGGGCCTGGGGCTCGCCCTGCTGCCCACGGCGATGGCGGTCGACGGCGCCGACGACGATGACCTCGCCTCGTTGGTCGACGACTCCTGGGCTGACAGCCTGCCTGTCGGCGGGCGGCGGCGGCCTGGGCGGGGGCGCGAGGGCGGGTGGGTCGCGGAGGCGGTGGCTGCTGGCGCGGGCGGCACGGGCTCTGGCCTGGCCGCCGCGGCGGCCGCTCCCGCGGACGCGGCGCTGGCCCTCGCGAGGGCCCCAGGCGGGGCGGCGGCGGCGGAAGCGGCGGATCTCGCTCGCGGAGTGGGAGGAGCTGCTGGAGCTGCTGCGTGCGGCCTCGAGCGCGCCGGCCTGGCTGGCGGTGCCGAGCCACGGCGGCGCGGGCCGAGGCGCGCACGGGCGAAGGCGCAGGCGGAGGCGGCGAGGGCGGCGGCGGAGCTGGGCGCGGCGCTCGCGGGGGCGGCGCCTGCTGGCGGCGGAGCTGCTGCCTCGGAAGGCCCTGGGGAGGTCTTCGAGCGTGCCGACGGCCTCCTTCGGCAGGCGCCTGGCTACGGGCCTCAGCTCAGCGTGCAGCTTCGGCAGATGCTGGAGTCCGTGAGCTGGAGGCCCGCCAGCGCCGTGTGAGGTGGGGAGTGCCTTCGGTGGTCTGGGCCTTTTTAGGCTCGGCACGGGGTGGGTGGTGGCTCGCGTGGCCGCCTCACCTGACGGCGCACACCCACGCAGCGTGGCGAGCGCGCTGCAACTTGGAGGCCGCTGATTGCGGAGCCTCCTGGCCGCATTTGCGGCTCTCGCCTTCTTGGCGGCGGGATCGGTTCGTGCTGCACGGGCTGCCTGGTGTGTACAAAAGTGGTTCTAATCCGCACTGTTTTATGTACGTCTGTTGCTATAGATTGCGCCTCTCCTGGGGCACGAAACCTTCCTGGGAGGTCCCAGGAGGTCCCAAGAGGCTCCTGGAGACCCCAGGAAGCCCCAGTAGGTTTCAGGAGGCCCCAGGAGGCCCCAGGCTCATGCACAGAGACGCGCTCGTACTACTGAGGCTCATTCACACTCCAATTCATTCGCAGTTAGATTGATGTCCAGACCGTCACAACTGAAGCCCGTTAATATTCGAAAGCTCTTGCGCCTAGACATTCACGGCGGACAGGTCCATGCGAGTAGATGCACATATGGGGAGCTCCACGCAGTGAATAATTGGCGGACCGCGCCGGAAGGACACAGAACAGGACAGAACACCACACTCATCACTCAGACTCACTCATCAAGACTCACTCATCACTCAGACTCAGTTCTCACTCAGACACACCACTCATCACTCAGACTCACCACTCAGATTCACTCATCACTCAGACTCACTCATGCTCTCTCATCACTCAGACTCAGTCATCACTCAGACTCAGGCGATTCGCTCGTCTCAGCAATCTAAGGGGGGCGGCGGGGGGGTATTTCACGGGGTCCCGTTCGCGGAATTTTGTGGGGATGTCTCAGGCGGTTTGGCCATTTTCTGATCCAGCATGTTTCGTTTTCGGAGCAGATTTGGAGGATGTCTCAGGCGATTCGCTCGTCTCAGCACTCTAAGGGGGGCGGCGGGGGGGTATTTCACGGGGTCCCGTTCGCGGAATTTTGTGGGGATGTCTCGAGCGGTTTGCCTGTTTTCTGTGCCAGCATCTTTCGTTGTCGGAGCAGATTTGGAGGGTGTCTCGAGCGAGGCGCTCATTTTGACCTCCCAGGTGGGCCAGATTTTGAGGATGTCTCGAGCGGTTTGCTTGTTTTGGTGGCCAGGCTCGTGGGCGCAGATTCTTCCCAGGATGCCACAGGAGGCTCCCACGGGCTCCAGGAGGCCCCAGGAGACCACATGAGGTCCCAGGAGGCATCAGGAGGCAACAGAAAGACTCAAGAGGCTACAGGATGTCCCAAGAGGCTCCAGGAGGCCCCAGGAAACTCCAGAAGGCCTCAGGAAACCACGGGAGGCCCCAGGAGGCAACAGGAAGTGCCAGGAGGCCTCGGAAGGCAACAGGAGGCCCCGAGAGGCCCCAGGAGCAGGAGGCTTCAGAAGGCAACAGGAGTGGCTCCAATCCCATGTGTTTTACGTATGCTCCTATCGATTGGGCCTCACCTGGAGCACGATTCTTTGATGTTATACGTATGTTTATATATATATATTGTCCTTCTCCTGTGTACCCAATCCTACATGTTTTATTTATGTTTCTATATATTGGGCCTCTCCTGGGGCACGAGTCCTTGGTATTTTACGCGTGTTCCTATAGATTGCCCTTCTCCTGTGGCTCTAATCCGTAATGTTTTATGTGCGTCTGTTGCTATATATTGCGCCTCTCCTGGGGCACGAAACCTTGCTAGAAGGTCCCAGGGGGCCCCAAGAGGCTCCTGGAGACCCCAGGAAGCCCCAGTAGGTTTCAGGAGGCCCCAGGAGGCCCCAGGCTCATGCACAAAGACGCGCTCGTACTACTGAGGCTCATTCACACTCCAATTCATTCGCAGTTAGATTTATGTCCAGACCGTCACAACTGAAGCCCGTGTATCTTCGAAAGCTCTTGCGCCTAGACGTTCACGGCGGACAGGTCCATGCGAATAGATGCACATATGGGGAGCTCCACGCAGTGAATAATTTCTGTGCCCAACATCCTTCGCTTTCGGAACAGATTTGGAGGATGTCTCGAGCGAGGCGCTCATTTCAGCACCCCTAAGGAGAGCCGCCAGGGGTGGTTGCACGGGCTCGTTCGCTGCCATTTTGTGGGGATGTCTCAGTCGGTTTGCCTGTTTCTGTGCCCAACATCCTTCGCTTTCGGAGCAGATTTGGAGGATGTCTCGAGCGAGGCGCTCATTTCAGCACCCCTAAGGGGGGCCGCCAGGGGTGGTTGCACGGGCTCGTTCGCGGCCATTTTGTGGGGATGTCTCAGGCGGTTTGCCTGTTTCTGTGCCCAACATCCTTCGCTTTCGGAGCAGATTTGGAGGATGTCTCGAGCGAGGCGCTCATTTCAGCACCCCTAAGGGGAGCCGCCAGGGGTGGTTGCACGGGCTCGTTCGCGGCCATTTTGTGGGGATGTCTCAGGCGGTTTGCTTGTTTCTGTGCCCAACATCCTTCGCTTTCGGAGCAGATTTGGAGGATGTCTCGAGCGAGGCGCTCATTTCAACCCCCCAGGTGGGCCAGATTTTGAGGATGTCTTGATCGGTTTGCTTGTTTTGGTGGCCAGGCTCGTGGGCGCAGATTCTTTTCAGGATGCCACAGGAAGCTCCAACAGGCTCCAGGAAGCCCCAGGAGACCACATGAGGTCCCAGGAGGCATCAGGAGGCCACGTAAAGACTCAAGAGGCCACAGGATGTCCCAAGAGGCTCCAGGAGGCCCCAGGAAGCTCCAGAAGGCCTCGGGCAACCGCAGGAAGCCCCAGGAGGCAACAGGAAGCGCCAGGAGGCCTCGGAAGGCAACAGGAGGCCCCGAGAGGCCCCAGGAGCAGGAGGCCTCAGAAGGCAACAGGAGTGGCTCCAATCTCATGTGTGTTACGTATGATCCTATCGATTGGGCCTCATCTGGAGCACGATTCTTTGATGTTCTACGTATGTTTCTATAGATGGTCCTTCTCCGTTGTACACAATCCTAAATGTTTTACTCATGTTCCTATGTATTGGGTTTCTCCTGGGGCACGAGTCCTTGGTGTTTTACGCGTGTTCCTATAGATTGCAAGCCTCCTGGCAACCACGGGATAGCTCTGTTTCCAGAGCTCGACTCTCAGCGGCGCGCGCGGCTCCCCTCGTTTTGGCACTTATAACACTGAGTGTGTCTCGGCCATGGTACCTCAGTGGCAGTGCGTGTGTGGAAAGTACCACGCGGCCGACCGCACTCGTTGCTCGAAGGCATGGTGCGGAGGCATGCGACCTCGCTTTCCACGCGGAGCTGGGCAGCCCTGGCACCAACCGTGGTAGCTTCGTCAGCCTCCCACCCGTGGCAAGTGGGCCGACTCGCCGCCGAGCAACCAGTGGGGACACAACGGCAAGCTCTTCAAAGGCAAGAGTGCAGGAGGCGACAAGGGCTCCACAGGCACCACCCTCAGCGCGGAGGAGGTCAAGGTCTGGGCCACGTTCACGCAGGAGACATGGGATGCGACGAAGCACACCCTCACGCAGTCCTCTCGTGGGAAGGTGGATGCTGCTCGCCGTGCTCACTCTCTCGGTCTGGTTGGGGGGTCGGCGCCCCAGAAGGTGGACGGACTTGCTCGCCAGCTCGCAGATGCTCAGGATCGGCTTACGCGTGAGTCTGAGGTGGCTCGCAAGGCGCTGGAGCAGGTGCACACGACAAAGGAGGCCATCGCGCAGCTGCAGCAGGAGCTCGCGGAGGCCAAGCGGGAGGCAGCCGCGCTCTGTGGTGGAGGCATCAGCCCTGACGCGATCAAAGAGAAGCTCGGCTCGCTCAACACCGACGGCGTCTCTGGCCAGGACCTCCTCGAGCAGCTGTCCAAGATGGTCAACGAGCTCGCCGAGGAAGCGAAGGCAGCTCGCCCGCAGGGCGGGGCTCCCGCTGCAGCAGGCGGCGCCGCGCCCGTCCCCGAGCCAGCTGCAGCTCAGCCTGGCGGAGGTGAGGCCGCAGCGGCGCCCGCAGCAGGGGCGGTGCCAGCCGAGGGCGGTGCGGACTTCAACGACATCCTGGGCGAAGACGATCCTGGTGGTCTTCTTGGCAGCTGTGGCGATGATGACGAGCAGCGCAAGAGGATCCGCGACGCCCTGGAGGTCCTGCGGTCCGTCAAGAAGCCGCGAACCTCAGGGTAGCCGCCCTCGCGGGCGCTGGTGGGCTGCTCTCTCCATCAACGCCAGCGCGTACAGCAGGTTCGAGAGCATTCTTGGCTACGAGAGTCTCAGGAGCTGCGACCTCGTCGCGGTCCAGGAGACGCACCTGTCTCAGGAGGGGTGCTGCGAGGTCACCGACAAGCTGCAGAGGCTGGGCTGGCATGCAGTGGCCACTCCAGCTACCGACGTTTCTGTTGGACACGCAGGGCACGGTGGCCTCTTGCAGCTGGCGCCCAGGTCCTCGGGCCTTGGCGAGTTCGAGGCGGGGCAGCCGACGGTGCTCGCGCCAGGTCGCGCGGCAGTCGCGCATGTTGCAGGTCCCTTCCCTGGGGGACTTGCTTGGATCAACGTCTACATGAAGGTTGGCGAAGGCCTCTCGGCCTACAACCTCGGCATTCTGGACGGCGTCGCGATGGCAAACCGAGCCATCGGCAAACCCTTCGTGATCGCGGGTGGCTTCAACATGGAGCCCCACGAGTTACAGTGCTCTGGCTTCCTCGAGCGCGTCGGAGGCAGAGTGGTCTCACCAGCGGACGGCACCATTCGGCCGTCGGGCAGGGTGATTGACTATTTCGTCATCTCTCACGTGATCTCGGAAGCACATGCGGAGATCAAGCTTGGGTGGGATATCTCTCCCCACGTCCCTGTCGAGCTCAGGTTCAACGCCAGCTCGGTCAACGGGTACATGCAGGTCATGAACGTGCCCAAGAAGCTCCCGTACCCTCTACCCAAGGCGTGCTGCACCGAGGGCCACTCCCAGATGTGGGCGGAGGCGCGCGGCCGCATGGCGGCTACCTCTTCGCTGGGCGGCATGTGGCAGATCTTCATCC